TGCACGCACGTGCATACATGAGCATGGTGACCATACCTTCTTGTAGAAGTCCATTACATCTATCTATGTTCTAAATTCCACCCCGTTTGGGTGAAAACTAAGGGAGTTATAGCTGTTTAAAGTTTCAGCCAATCGGATTGCAGCACATGTACATGCACGTGTATGCATGTGCATGGTGACCATACCTACTTGTAGAAGTCCATTATATCTATCTATGTTCCAAATCCCATCCTGTTTGGTTGAAAACCAAGGGAGTTATACCTGTTTAAAGTTTCAGCCAATCAGATTGTAGCGCACGTGCATGCACGTGTTTTCATGATAATTGCTTTATTTCATGTTGTAGGATATCCTAATGCATGGCTATGTTCAAAATTTCAAAGGATTTCGTCAAAAAACTAGAAAGATATTGAGACTTCAGTTGCAGCCAATCAGAGCCAAGTGCACGTGCATGCGCGTGAGATCTTGCTATTTTCACCATGTCGTCATGTCTATACTACTAATATATCATCACATTATGAGTTTCAAATCATTTCATTGAAAAAAAGAACAGTTGTGGCTATATCTATTATATTGGTCATTTCACGTGTTGCACGTGCACGCTCTTGCAAGCACGTGCGCGCAAAATGACCTTGATTCCGCAAATCTACATAACATGTCAACTAACCCTAAAAAGGTTTTACCTACATCGGACGAACAGTTTACAAGATCATTCCCGGACAAAAAAAGTTCCAGGAAGAAGAAGAAGAAAAATAATAATAATAAGAAACAGAGCAAAAACAATATGTTCCCCAACTTCGTTTGGGGAACATAATAATCCATCTCCCATTCAAACTTTTATAAGATACTGAAGTTATAATGGCTGTATATCTAATTTCAATATTTCAAAACTTCAACACTAACCAAAGTTAAGCACATACTACAAATTAGAAAAAAATATATCAGGATTTGATTTAAACCCATTGATCCTACAATTAACCATGATGTTTTTTTTCTATTGTGGAATATTTATAATTGTATTATTTCAAAGATATGTGCAATATTGTTTACATTCATATCCAGCAAACCTTAAAATATGTCTGGGTTTGTGCATTTAGAGCTATGAATAGAAAATGTTTGTGTTTACGGGTATTCTTGGTAGGTCATTGTACCTTAACTTTCTTTACTTTATAAAAAGAGGAAACATTTTGCCTTTTCAATTTATGACCGACATGACAGTTTTCGTTTTGTGAAGCATTATGCTACATTAAAGTGATACACTGTTACTAGATGACCATTTTGTCTTGACTTCAGTAAGATTGCAGATGTTAGATTTAGAACATACATCTATAATTATGCATTCCTCATATTTTGCATTCCTCGCATACATGCTCAGTTGTCATCTTATGAATTGCACAACCTTGCGTCATTTATAAATGACCCAGCCACCATTTTTAAATACATCTATAATTGGCCCTCCGCCATTTTTAAATACATCCAAAATAAAAACATCTACATACATGGGGGGTAACATGCAGCATTTCTAAAAGTACCAGAGCACTTATTGGCCCCAGTAAAATGTTAAAAAATAATGAAGAATCATTTAAAGCAGAATTTTTCATCTAAAATTATTTATTGATATCTAAACCATACGATTCAACATCTTTTAAGGAGTCAGCCGACTTTTGTGATTTTCTATAGTACATCGGGAAGAGTCATTAATGTCTAAGATTTTGTTTACTATTAGCTTTCTGTTGCACAAACTTGTGCGGATGACAAAAGACGCTTTAAATATTTATACAACTTGTGTGAAAATAGAACGTTTGCACAAGATTAGGCTGGTGCCTAAAATATAAATAATGTGTAAAAACAATCAACGTTTTTCTTATAGGAAACAAGAGTTATTTACCTGTATGACCTATGGTTAACCCACCTGTGGAATAAATTATCTAAAATACTTATAGTCACGTGAAATCTACCAGAGAAACATTCGTCAAAGTTGCTTACTGCATAGCCAGACTTTGTATAATTTAATTATCATGTATGTATTTGGTTTATGAAACACTAGAGGGTAAAGAGAGTAAAGTGTCGTTCATAATAGTGTCAGAATTAATTTTTATCATTCACACAAGACATTGATACCACCTTAAAGTCCACCTGAATAGTCTTTTTTTTTAATTTCAAACTTCAATGATACTAAGATCAATACAGCATTTTTTTAAATGCAAGCGTGCATTTTCTATGATATATCGCTATGGCTTCGGGCATTTTAAACACATTAAACAGAGGAAGATGTATCAATCAGTAAATGGCCCGTCAATGATCCGTCATCATGTTGTTCAAGTGTCGATTTAAATGTCTCCACACTTGATTTAAGGTTTCGTCAAGGTCAACATGTCTATAAATTATTTTTACAATATTTCACAAATTATGTGGGGTACAATGTAAAAAGTCAAAATGTATACAGTTTATAAAATTATCATTGATTAATAGATAGAAAATAAATAGAAAATATCACTTGATAATAAATATTTTTATAAAGATTTTTTTCGGAAAAAAATTGCAGAAGAAAATGTGCGTATTTAAAAAAAATGCACATGCTTTATTCTGTCCTTTTGTGAAAACCATCATTTAAGAAATTCATTAAAATTATAGGGATGGGGATCCAACGTAAATTCACAATAACCGTGTTCGTACTAAACGCGTTCTGTTGTAATTATTTTGAGTAAGTGTTAGCATAGCTGAACTTGTCAAAGGATACTCTAATGGAACAATCAAATTCGGACACAATGAAATAATTATATGAAATTGTTATAGGCAATTTGGAAGATGAAGTAATTTTTCTTTTCAAATACGTTATGAATACCTTGTTATGAATACCTAATGCGATAATTTTAAAAAAGTTCATTCAAAATTGGTTAAAAATGATTGAATAATGATAATAAATACTTCTTTATTTTTCTATGCTAGCTTACAATCAGAAAAGAATGCAATCAATATTGACATTTTGTATCATTCAAATTTACATACTAGAGTTTTGCGAAAGAATAAGTATGACACGATAATTTGCAAATTAAGACCACAAGAAATATTATTCTTTTGCAGATGACAATTTCTTAAAATATTTCTCACTCCAGTCATCCAGGGAAACGAATTGAATACGCTGAACAACTCCAATTTCAAGAATCCATTTGTTCTTATCATTCTTAGAAAAGGAATTACATGTATAAATTTATCTCTACTGAGCAGACTTTTAAGCTTGAAAACTGCTCGTTATCTCCAAATATGTAATGCCAAAGTTGAAAAACTAAATCCTTATATTTGAACAAAACAGCAATGGATTTCCCAAGGAGATATATGTACAAGAGCAAACTCAGATAGGAAACTTTAAATTGTATTAAGTTTTAGAACTGGATCATTAGCTGGAGTGATTGTAATGAACTTAGTTTTTTTACCAGATAGGCAGGATTTGACTGATCTTGAACTCTCTTATTTCATTAGATATAAAATACTTTTTCCAGTCCTTTGAAACAATGTCGAGCTTTCAGATGTCACAAGATGGATAATTTAGTTCAAATCTCAATTTTATTATATTTCAACATAGACTGCATTGATACTCATTGATATTCATTGTTGTTAAAACTTATTATGTTTTTTTAATTGTTTAAATGGGAACTTAGAATCTAGTTAATGTGTAAAATCCCATATCCATGTTCCGTACCTGTTTCACCTTTATTTTTTTTTAAAGAAAGAAAGAATCAAAGAAAATAAATCTTGGTTAAATACAGGTTCTTCTTTAATCAGATCAAATTTATAATATATTATTCTTTCAACAAAATTCAAATCTCAACTTGTTGTAAGTAAGTAAAATTCAAATAAAATCTTATAAGTTAATAAAATTAAATGTGGATCTGCATTAGACATGAAAAATAATGTATTGGTGGGATATTGTACAAAACTGTTAAATATTACAAATTCAGTTTTGCATTATTCAGTTATCTATATTGATAAATACCTGTTTATTTAAGAAAATATATCTTAAAAAACAATCTTTAAAAACACTTTCATAAAAATTCTAATACATACATTTATTCATGTATTTTGAAATAAATACTTAATTTATATATAGTTTATTTGGAAAATAAATTTGATCTCAAATAAATCGAACACCCATTTACATAAATAATAGCAATTAAAGAAATAACTTTAAAAAGAATAGCAGTTGTACGCATATGTTAATGCGTTATACACATATTCATGAAATAAAAATAGGGGGAGCAGATAAGCAACATCCACATTTATTCATATATATGTGCAATTCACACTTATCATGCCTTCTTAATATGCATTTTATGATTATTATATAGATATATATGTAAAATATATATTTGAGTTGTAGCTTTATAGATTTGTTTATGTGTGTTTGTTTGTGTTATAGTAATTATTTCCTAATATGTACAAAAAAATCTTCTTAATTGATATACATCCAAACAAACCATAAATATTTATCTTAATATGAACATCATTAATAAAACAAGTATTCTTCATATTAAAAAATCTCTAAATTAAAACATAGATTTTGCAATGTGCAAAAAAGGTTACATCTCACAAACAAAAGCTTTTTAAGTAGATGTGAACAGCACTTAATGCATGTTTTTGCACCAGTGGGAGATATCTAAATTCTCGGCAAAAACATGGCTGATGATCAAACCTCTTCCTTAAGGTGTTGGATGTTCCTTGAAGTTCTAGGTACATCTTAATCTTTAGCAGGGGAAGAGGGAAAGGGTTCTAAAAATATCAATAAAATATACCAATATCTTTTTTAAAGTACAGAATTAACCTACCATCCATATAAAAAACAAATATTTGAGATTTTTATACATAATCAATACGTACATTATCAAAATATGATGAGTAATGCACTCTTTTTATCGATTATTATCTTTGTGAGATCTTTATTTGAAACCATGTTTTAAATTTCTCAATAATGTTTTAAGATTGAAATTGCCAGTGAATTTTTTTTATCAGAATATTTCTAGTTTACCATTGTTCTGTCTTTCCATTGATTGTCGTCCTTGGGGACCAGGATACTTTTCCTCTGGGGTGCCTGCTTGATGCAGTACCGGCACCTAGTAAACAATATTCTCATGAATTATACATTGAATAAAAAAAAACTTTGAATGAAAAAATGAAAATTTAAAAGGTTCAACTTATTCAATTACTTGTTTAAAAACACGTATAATTTTAGATGTTATTTTCAAGATCATGTTTACAACAGCTTCTTTGTATCATTTGCCAATAAACTGTTAAACAATTTGCTTCTAAATAAAAAGAAAATATATATACAGATCTTTTATTTGGAATTTACACAATTTTAATCCTAAGATATGTTAAGCATCTATAACTACAATTAATAACTAAATTTGCATTTTACAAAGCAAACGAAATGCGGTATACCTGATTTCCTTCTACAGTATTATAATTCTTCATCAGGTACTCAATAGCTTGTTTTACTTCATTCAGTTCCATACGAGAGGATGGTTCATGGCTTAATAGACTTTCTACAATGTCTTGTACCTTCTCATTGTTGATATCTTCTAGAGGGGCAAAATTTCCAGTTCTGAGTTGGTCAAATTTACGAGCCTTTACACTCTCATCCATTTTAACATACATTTCATATATAATTAATCCAATACTATAAAAATCTGCCTTTCTGTCGTAGGGATAATAACTTTCCTTTTTTACCTCTGGTGCCATGTAATAAATTGATCCTATATCCGAGGAAGGGCGTGCATTCCTTTCAGAATCTGGGATATCCCCCTCCAAACTTCGGTTTCTGATCCTAGCAAAGCCAAAATCACAAATTTTAGCCCTGCCATCCTTACCAATTAAAATATTTGCTGGCTTGAGATCTCGGTGAATTAAGTTCTTTTCATGAATAAATAGCACTCCATTCAAAATATCAAGAAGTATTCTACACCTTCTTCCATCATTAGCATACATGTCACCGCTCCTTATCATATCCTCTAAGCTTTCAGCGCAAAGCTCTATCAGTATCATTAAGCATGCAACATATTTTGTTTTTACATCAGAATTTCCAGCATTTGTTGTTGAGGTTTCAAATACATGTGATGTATGATAACTGACAATATTTTCATGGGACTCTAATATGTGTAAGATTTTTGATTCATTATATTTGCAAGCCTGAAAGTCACTTTGATCAATTGGAACTAATTTCATTGCACATCGTCTATCGTCTGTAATTTTCCGGACTTCAGATACAGTGCCCTGTCCTCCAGAACCAATCTCCCTGATTATTTGGTAATTGTCTTGAAAGGATGAGTTTTTAATACATTTCTCAATACACTCGGCTTTGTCTCGCTTGTCCTGTTCAGAAGATTCATCGATATCGTTTTCCCCTGAAATTGCTGAGAGTTCATGGTTTACATGGATGGGTTCCTCATCAGAGAACTGTGTTTCCCTGGTATCCATGATGTGATTCTGTAAAAATAAATTTTAAAATGTTCATGCTGTCCAGTACAGATCTAGAGATCTAACCATGGCATCTACATGTACTTAGTAAGAATTAATTTCTTACAGATTAAATCAGTATAAAACTTACCTCTCTCTCTCTTGGTTTCCGGTTCTCTAATGTTATTGCATCAGACAAGATGATTAAGGGCTTTTGTATTTTAAACGGAAGGAACTATATAATCAGAAAAACCGACAACATTATAGACATATTTTTCCGAAAAGCTAAAGATATAATAAGCATGTGGTGCACAAATGATCTAAATACGAGAGGGGAATCAGAGTATATCTGTGACTATGCATAAAAAAGTACATTTAATTTAATCTTGAATTATTTTTTTTTTCAATTTCTAAAAGGACGAGTGCACTTATTGACCCCGGTAAAATGTTAAAAAATGAAGAATCATATAAGGCAGAATTTCTCATCTAAAATCATTAATTGATATCTAAACCATACGATTCAACATCTCTTAAGGAATCAGCCGACTTTCTGATTTTCTATACATGTAGGGCATCGGGAAGGGTCATTAATTTCTAAGTTTTTCTAAGTTTTTGTTTACTATAAGCCTACCGTTGTACAAACTTGTGCAGATGACAAAAGACGCTTAAAATATTTATAAAACTTGTGTGAAAGTAGAACTTTGCACAAGATTAGGCTGGTGCCTGAAATATAAATAATGTAAAAAAAATCAACTTTTTCGTATAGGAAACAAGACCTATGGTGAATGCATCTGTGGAATAAATTATTTAAAATACTGATGGTCACGGGAGTTCTACCAAAGTAAACATTCGTCAAAGGTGCTTACCTTGAAGTCCACCTAAATAGTCTTTTTTTAATTTCAAAATTCAATGAAACTAATACTTATTGTACAGATTTTTTTTTAAATGCTAGTGTGCATTTTCTAGATATATCACTATAGCTTCGGGCATGAGCACAACTTCATTCCATTTTTTAAACATATAAAATAGAGCAAGAAGTATCAAACAGTAAACTGTCCGTCAATGATCCGCCATCAGGTTGTTCAAGTGTCTTCACGCTTGACTTAAGTTTTCTGCATTTCATTGAAGACATATCTGAGGAAGCAAAAGCTATCGTTTCGTTCTGATTCATATATATCAAAATATTGTAATTGTTTGTTCTACCTTCAGAAAAGACGCTGAACAACTCCAATTTCAAGAATCCATTTGTCCTTATTATTCTTAGAGAAAGAATTACATGTAAATTCTTATATTTGAACAAAAAAGAAATGGATCCCCCAGGGAGATATATGTACATGGACAAACTTAGATAGGAAACTTAAAATTGTATTAAGTTTGTGAACTGGATCATCAACTAGGGAGATTGAAGTGAACTTATATTTTTTTGATACAGATAGGCTTAAATTTGTATTAAGTTTGTGAAATGGATCATTAAATGAGGAGATTGTAGTCAACTTAGATTATTTTACCAGATAGACAGGATTTGACTGAACTTGACTTTTCTTATTTCATTGTTTATAAAATACTTTTTAAGTCCTTTGAAACAATGTCAAGCTTTCAGATGTCACAAGATGGATAATCTAGTTCAAATCTCGATTTTATTATAGTTCAACATCGACTGCATTGATACGTATTATTGTTAAAGACGTACAACACACTGGGGGAGATAACTCTTGCAATTTCAATTGAACGTTTGACTTGACGTCAAGTTTAACGTCAAAAATAAAGCGTCAAAGCGACGAGTAAAACGATCCCGATGTATATTAATCATGAAAGAAAATTGGGATATGGGTCTTGGCTGTAATTGTGCGTACCATACTCAATCAATAAGTATTTTTTAATTAACCCGATTTAACTCCGTATAAAGCAAGATATAAAATACAATCCCTTAATGTTTATTTCATTTCATATACAATAAATTGTATTTTTGATCAAAGCGCAGTATTTTTTTTATTCTACATTGCCGAAATTCTCATTATGTACAATTGGCTATGTAACATTCCGATTAATGGTCTACATTACAATTTGTGCATACACGTCAGAGGATATATTGTTTTTCTTCTTTTTAATTAAATAAAACAACAATAAAGAAACGATTAACTTTTTACAATGTAAAATCGATGTTGTTCTCAGATCCTTACTGATCAAAGAGGAACAACTCTGAAAATATAGGAGATGTTTATTTTCCTCCCTTTTTTCACGGTTTTCCACGGAATCAGATACATTTACATCAAGACCTGATAAATCCGACAATTGAATACTATAGACCTCATATACACAATGTAAGTAATAGAAATGAAAACAATTGTTCACTTGTAATGAAATTATCTTCATTTATGAATATCCTATTGCAGCAAATCGTAATTTTAACTTTCTGTCAACAATGTCGGTTGGCATTTCCTCGAATCAAAACAAACGGAGCCTATAAGATTTTGAAAAACATCAATCTGGGATTTGATATAAATTGAAATAAATGAAGAGTTTGATGTTTGATATTTTAAACTTAATGTGGACGAATACGGAATTTTCATATTAACTTTAGAAGCGACGACATTGAAAGAAATGTGTACCCGGTATGTACATCTATGATCTAATGCAAATGTCGATGTATCCCCATCGCCGCATACTGTCTCGTTTGAAATAATGACATGAAAGAAACTACAATTATTCCATTAATAACACAGAAGAGTTGAACATACACCATTTTTATAATGAATAAAATTAAAGAAATAAAATTAAAAATCAACATATTCAAGTTCAACAAAACTTGAATTCGTATCCAAGTTTCATGTGATATGGAATGCATAACACATACCTATATGAACTAAAAACAAAAGTCTTTTAGTAGTTTTTTCCTGATACATATAAAAAGAGTACCGTAGCCAATATTTATTCTGTAATCATGAATTTAAAAACTAATGCATACCACCGGGATTCTTGACAAAATACCGGTATATTTGCACTGTAAACGACGTTTCGTCTAACGCTAATGGTCTGCGACGCAAAAAAGGAAGGGGTGGGGGTGATAGGGATATTCAAAAATTGCCTAAAAATCTACATCTAAATACGCTTTCCATATGAGAACTATTAAATTTGTAAGTTAATATACTTTTGAAGCAAAAGCAATATTCCAATTTAATTCTTTTAATGTGTATTAGTAGATTCATATAACAAAGTGATCGACCCCCTGTCTGAAAGACGCGCAGGAACGTGATTTATTGAGAAAGGGGGAGGGGGCATTTTACCGCTATTAAATCAAAACTGGTCGACAAAAAATTAATCAAAAAATTATGAAGATTATTTTCAATACCAGCTACCTAAAGAAAGTTTTTTAGCAAAATTAAACGACAGGTTTTTTCACAAAAAAATTTCAAATTTAAAAAATACGCAATTTCCAAGGCTTAGAAAAATCATACTTTTTCAGTTTAAAGTCTTTAAAAATTGTTTTGATGATATGCATATAAAAAAAATGACTATGTTTTTGTGTTAAATGGTTAAAGGAATAAGCCAATAATATTTGACATTGATATCTGATCTGGTTTTTTGAAAATCAAGGTTTAAGTAGTTCTTTGATTAAAAATTTTCTCTCCTTGTAAACAACTAAAGGGGGTAACTTTCGGAAGTTCCTGTCCAAAAATCACTCGAACGATTTTGTCAAAAATATGCATACATGCAGTAGATATAGTCATGTACTGAATATATAAAAATAACAAAAATTAAACGACAGGAATTTTTTTGGGGTAGGTGTGTTGTACATCCTTAAAACTTCTGTTATTTTTAAGTATTCCTTTAGGAACTTTGAATTTAGTTAACAATATGTTAAATACCATATGAGTGTTCCTTACAATAAAATACCTGCTTCGCCTTTGTTTTTTTAAATAAAGAAAGAAGGAATCTTTGTTTCATACAGTTTCTTCTTTTAACAATCAAATCATCAAAATTACAAAACAGTATTCTTTCAATCAAATCCTGATCTCAACGTTTTTATCACAATAAATCTAACAACAACATGTATGTTAAAATAAATGTGGATCTGCTTTAGAAATGGAAAATAATATGTTGGTGCGATATTGTACAAAACTGTTACCAATTCAGTTTTTCATTATTGACTAATATATTGAAAAATACGTGTTTATTTAAGAAAATATATCTAAAAAGGCTATTGCCAAACTTAAAAAAAAACACTTTTATAAAAAATCATGTATTTTAAAATGAATCCCAAATTCATGTAAAGTTTATTTGGAAAATAAATGTGATTTCAAACAACACCCATTTACATAAAGAATACACTCTGTAGCAATTAAAGAAATAACTTTAATAAGAATAATATTTGTATAGATATGTTACATGCAATGCGTAATACACATATTCATGAAAAGAAAATAGGAAAATATACCAGATACATGTAAGTAACAACCACATATATTTATGTATGTGCAATACACACCCATAATGCTATCATCATATACATTTTATGATTATTATTTAGATACCGGTATACACGTAAAATATACGTGAACTGTCAATTAGAAATGTGGATATAAGTATGGCTTTGTAGATTTGTAAATGTGTGTAAGATCGTATTACATGTAATTATTTCTATAATACATGAATATCTACTAAATCAATAAAGAGCAAAAACTATTTAAACATACATATCTAAACATGAACATGATTTATAAAACATTTTTCATAATATGAAAAAAACAACTCTAAATTAAAACATAAATAATGCCATAAGCAAAAAAAGTCTCATCTCAGATTCAAAAGCCTTGTAACTAAATAAGACTTAATGCATGTCCTTGCATCAGTAGAGGGGTGTCAAATTCTCCTCATAATAAATTTATATATATGTGAAATACAATCATCTTGCTAACATCATGTAAATTTTATGATTATTATATAGATATACATGTAAAATATATTTGAGCTGTGAATTAGAAATCTTAATATATACAAGTTACAAAGTATGGCTTTGTTGATTTGT